TTTTTCACAAGCATATAAAATGTTTGTTAATGTCACTATTGCTTAAGAAAATGATAAAGTAAGATTAGTAATTTCGCATTCAATAGTCATGTGATTTTTTGCTACCAAGTCAAAAGAAAGCACTTTGTTGGGAGCTTCTTGGGAGATCTTACCTTCACCACAACCTAAATCGGCTACAATCCAATCTTTTGGCTTTCCCTTTAAATAATCTATAAAAATATCGACAGGGTTCACGGGCCAAGAACTGACAGCCGAACGAAAACCTTGATGGTACTAAGGAAGTAAGAATGTTAGTATACTCAAAAGCAAAACCAAGAAAATCAAACGCTTTTTACCTCATCAAACATAAGAGGATTATTCTGAAATAGCTCCAGGGCAGAGGAACTCGACGATGTATAAAGTTTTTCATTAATCCAACGAAACTTGCCTTTCGAAAGGCTTTCTAACATTTTTTGTTGAAAGGTAGAATTTTTTTGAGTATACATATATTCAGTACGGTACGATGGTTTGGTCAGTACTGTATGTGATCTGTACAGTGATTACTGGTAATTAGTGATCCAAATCGTTAGTAGAAAAACTAACCAGTTGACTAATCGATTGGAAATTTTTTATCGTTGGTTGATTATCGTTATCTACATAATAATGTCAATCAGAATGGCAAACCATTCGTTTTTGATACTCCTGCATAGCGGAACCCCCCCCCTAGCGCACCCACAAAAATTTTCCCCACCCATGAATTTTGGCCAATCAAATTTCAAGATCAGGTGTAACATAAACAAACGAAGCGAAACCATTTTTTACAAATAAACTGAAATAACTCGAAATTTTAATTAAAAAACCACCTTCTGCGGCCTAATTAAAAATGTTCATTGTGAAAGTTTACTAATAGTAATAACCTAACCCTAACTAACCCTACATTGTTCTCGCTCTAACCCTAATTATAACGCGGTTTTATAAATTACGGGGGTAGGAAGATTTTTGTGGGTGCGCTACCTAAAATCCGGAAGGGAATTCGCCTGATTCAGAATCCGGCTGTCCTGATTCAGAATCGGGGCAACCGGATTTAGAATTCCTATACGGTGTACCGGATAGATATTTACTGTATATGTGTGCTAACACGAACCTAGCATAACAGATAACTACCACGATCAGTTACATACAGAGTTGAAATTAATTATATACCAAAAATTTTAATTATGCGATGTATCGGTTATAGTTTAATAATGACGATATCTGTTTATATTGTAATTTAATAACAAGAGTCGTTTAAAAGTTTTTTTCTTACCAAATATTTCATAAAAAGCTAATTAATGAAAACCTATTATCAACCCAATCGAATTCAAAAAAAATGTTCGTCCTGCAGAATAATATGTATCGAGTGATTAACCCGTATAAATAAAGGCAAAAAACGGAAAAGTCAAGTACAGAATATGAGCAATATTCATGAAATGCAAGAAAGTGCTATATAACCTGAAGATATCGAAGATGTAGTTTATAAAAAATTTATAGACAATATAGAAAAAGAGTGCAAGCATGGAACTTAATGCAATTATAATAGCCTTTGAAAATTTATTCATAATACCACCTATAGTGCGACTTGGTAATGCACAACTTCTTATAATGTTTACTTCAACTGTCCTTGACAATAACAATAATAATATTGTAGACAATGGCGAATCAAGTGAAGAAGAAAGCGAATTGGAAATTATAGATCAATACAAAAATTCTTTATAAAGTATAACCTATTTATTGTTTTTATCAAATTAGATTATGCGGCATAATAAATAAAATATCTAAATTTGATATCGATACAATTCTGATATAGGTGCTTGACCTTCTTGAAAAGTCTTAATAAAACCTCCCTCAACAAAATAAATGGTTGAAAATATTGAATCGAATTTTATGCCATTTCAAAAGATGATAGACAACATTAAGAATCTGAGCCATGTGAAAAAACTTCACAGATAAAACAGTTTATTCACTAAGAATAATTCAATGAGATATAACGAGAACCAAAGTTCTATCTGGTATCTCCCCTTTTGGATCGATACCTTATTTATTTATTACTAATACACATTTGCGTCACTGATTATTACATACTTTACTCATCGTTCATGCAATCATCGTTTTAGACTTTTTAATTAAATCGTGATCACCCGATATAGATTACGCATTAGATGACATCATGACGTTCGATCAACACGTACCGATCACTAGTCACATGGGTATCGCGCAGCACCACGACATATAGTAATGTAAATTTCGAATAAACACTTGACACAATGCAGTAAAAGTTTATGATATAGCATGTAAAGTTAGATAATAATTGTTTATTAAATAGATTTCGAATAAGCACTTTTACTTGAAAAATAAAACTTTATATAAAGTTTTTATGTAATAATAATTTTTACATGTCGTTGACCTGTCGGGTTATTAGATCCAATTAAGTAAAATCTCAGATTTTAATCAACCTGATCGTGGTTATACTAGAGGGTTTCCAGGTACCCCGTATAGGATTCTGAATCAGGACGGCCGGATTCTGAATTGGGTGAATTCCCATCCGGGGTACAACATATATTTCAGTAGATTCTTTGCTTCGTGCTATTATCAATATTCATCATCTTAGTTAAAATATGAATTGCTTTTAACAATAATATTATAATTATCTATTTAAACATTGTAGAACATAAAAATTTCTGACAAGTACTAGTATGCGTGACATTTTCGATCTTGGTATTGACAACAAACCACCCATAAATAAACCAAGATTTGGAATTAGTATTGGGCATGTGATCAGAAATTCTTTCCTACGTGTGTTGTTACGTCCAGATTTGGGAAAATGATAATAGGTTTGTGCAGATTAAAGGGGTGAAGTTTTATTAAGAGATTTGGATTTAATGATAGTTGAATATTAAGGAAATATGATTATTAAAGATATTCGAAATTATGTGTGTTATTCCTTCAACCTTAATTCTAATTTTCTGTCTTCGTTATCCTTCATTCTACTTATTCCATTCCGTTCCTCTAATTTTATTAATAACAAAATCATATTTATACATTTATGAGATTCATTCTTTACCCAACTTAGATATAATACATTATTAATCAGAAAAATAAAGTAATAATTTATGACAATCTATTACAATAAATGAAGTCATAGAAACTTCTCAACAAGCGATTATAACACAACTTTCAGGTATTAACAAAATTACCGCAACAGTGTACATCCTGGATTTTACATAATTTGTAGTGTGTATAAACTAAACAATATTAAATCCTTTTTTTTTTTATTTAACCAACTTATATACCAAATGCTCATGCTATTTAATATAACATGCCTAAACAAATATAATAGCGATTTTTTTTACAGGTTATATATACCAGGCTCGTACAAACGGACAGTCAAATTCGTACATACTACGCAAACAATGTTTTGATCAATCGTGATAACACATACTCTAGTAATTAAAATCGCATAATTTTGATGCTATTGGGCTTGTCTTATTAAAAGAGTCTAATATTACTAAAATATTCGGTTTCAATTACTAGATTATGTGGCATCACGATTTGATCGAATCAGTATTTTTGTGTAATGTGTATGAATTTTAACTGTCGACTTGGCTGTCTATTTGTACAACTTGTTTCAAATGGAGCAATTATTGTTGTCTAAAGCATCGCATGTGTTGATTAGTTTTTCTGATTGGTCAAAGCACAATATAAATTAAGACAAGTTGTGTAACATGAGTCAGCATTGTAAAATCAATCATTATTATATGTATTTGGTAGCTCTTTGTAAGTTCAAGAATTTGCGGAATTTTTATTCGGATAAACGTTGGATTTCTGCGTATTCCTCGGATAAACTTTGAAATTTTTTTGTCAACTAATTTCATCAAATCATTAAATTCTCTAAGCATAAAAAAATAAAATGGCTCAGCCGATTATCTTAACTGGTCACTTTTCGCTGCAAAACATATTGTTCACAACACGTGAAATCGGTTTTGCCAATCATTAGTCGCTTACAGGAATCTGTGGTTTTTTTCGGATAAACGTTGGGGTTCGGGTTTCAATTAAGGAAATGATCGGAAAATTGTTACACAGTTCATTGTAATGCTTTTATAAGAAAATTATGGCTCATTTGCATAATAAATGTAGAATGAAAAAATAATTAAGCAAACTTTGACTTTCGCATCGTATTTTGATAACACACCTGAATCTAACGGGATTCTCTATGTCAAGAAAATCCCGAGCCGCAGATCACTTCCGGTTTGTTTTCGGAGGCCGATTCGTGATTAGTAAGTTGATATTCTAATGTTTATATCGATACATTGTTTACATATTCTGCAGATAAATTCATTATTTCATATCAACACATTCAACCTTATTAAATTTTTTATTTAAATACTTACCCAACTTTATTGAGCATAGCAGAAGTTTATTTTGATTGGTTGTTAAATACCCCGGAAAAAATGCTGATCGTACCCCGGATAAATTATCGGCCATACCCGGACGAGGATTTATTACTTACAAAACTTTCAAAAAATTAGTAAATACACTCTGAAGACGCGTATTATAACCTTACAATACATTAATTTGATTCATAATAACTACTTTAATTCATATTTTACGACGTATATATCATTTTTTGCAATAAATACATTAATTTTACAATAAACAATTAAGTTTCGCGATACATTAATAAACTTGATTCTAAGATACACGAACATTTCTAACCACTACCACCATAAATGTCGTATTTGCAAACTAATAACCTAAATAAATATAACAAAAAAAAGTATATTTTAGAATGTAGTTCAAATACTATTATTTCAATTAGGCAAGCAAAACTGTTGAAACAAAATCTTGTAACTTTTTATTCAACAATTGCTTAGGTCGCCAAACTACCTTCCGACCTTTTAAAATCTTTACATCTCATCTAGATCTTGAAACTTTTGTATCCTATTGTATCCCAAGTTAAAAAACAATAAAACTCCAGGTAAAATACTAACGACTCAAGTTGGTTTCTACATTACGTATTACAAAAAAAAAACTTCTCATATGACACAACGATTTTTACTTATAAAAGTGCTTTAAAAATTATAATTGACTGTATAAAAAAAAAGATCGTTGCCAATCATATTTAGTCTAATTTTAGCCAATCAAAACAAACTTCCGCTATGCTACTTTATTGTGTGTTTAGTTTGTATGAAAATGTTGAAAAGATTGTTCTTCTTGACTAATAGATCTTGACAAAAAATGGCTTTGGATATAAATTATCATAAATCTGGTTTGTTTGCTTTTTTTTTTCTGCACTTTTTTTTATTCCTTATTCGGTACTTTTATACATCTGGTGTTTTTTTACATCACTTTGTTAAATTTTTTTATTTGGTTTGTTTTTTCGATTATTTTTCGTTATCTATTCAGGTGTTTCTTGTCTATTCAGGTATTTTTT